CAGTCGAATCTTCATTAAAATTCTATTCAGGAATTGGCAGAGTCCATGGGACTCAACAAACTGTACGAGAGAATGAAGGACTCGTAAGTAAACATATGACTGTTGTGTTAAAGTTGTAAATGGTAACGATATAAATAAGCATGTTGTATTCATCTCACTCTTAATTTGAGTCATATAGAAATAGTCATGTTGAGTGCAACGTCCTTCTTTTGTGGTATTTTCTTGTAGGTATGCTGTTAGAGCAGATGTGATTGTTTTGGAAATATGTTTTGAGAGTATATGTCCTTTCCATTATAGAAAGCTTCTTTTCATGCTTCAATTTTTAATTTCTTAACTTATTAGATTAAAAATTATGTGTGAAACAGCTGTTATATTTTACCTGTCCGTAAGAGTTGTTGTTGATAGTAATGATTTTCAGGTTGTTATTCTTGTAACTCATGTGTACCCCTTTTGGTATCACTTTGCACTCACTTTATGTCAGTCAGTCATGAAGATAAAGTGCTGTGTGAGAAAAAATTATAATGTAACTTATATCTAACAAGACTTTGATTGATTTGATTGGTCTACCATGTTTCTGTATAGGCCTATCCATGGAATAGAAAAGAGAAACTCCAATTAAAGAATATGTTTTAGAATCAGAAACAGTTAATGTGGTAATTCAATTTCTGATGCACTCTGGACAAGTGTTGCATGTATCAGACTTCCATAAAGTCTCAGATAACTAGTAACAATTCAAACAAGTTGGAATACTGTCAGAGTTCTACATTCTGTAATTAAATGTCCATGTATCAAGCCCATCAATAATGCAACAATTATTAAAATATTCACCATTTAACACTTAACACAACATGTTTCGGCCACAGACGGCTATCCTCAGGTGTTTCAATGCGTCCAGACTGTTACATTGCTTTGATGCACACTAAAATTGTGCATTGCAGTCCACTTAAAATAACATAAATAATTACTTAAAATTAATTATTTTTCTTTCCTACTAAAATCATTCGTAAAATTCTATTCCACCTCATAAGGTGCGTCGTCCACTTGTTTAAATCTATGTGATATTCCAGAAATAGCATTGAACAAGTGGATGATGCCCCTCTTATGAAACTTTTATTTATTAGTACAACTTTCAAGTGTCCCCCAATATTAATACTGCTGATTTGTACACTGCAGATATGCTAAAGTCACCTCTTATCTGATGTTAGTCTCTCGGTGGTGCTTTCAGAAGTGCAATAGGAGATTTTAAATGATCTGTAACTTTTAATATAAATGTTATACTTGTTCAAATCAAGTTTATGCAGGTATATAACTATCTGATAATTCCAGCATGGATCATGGCTGATGTGTAAAAGGTTGTTGGAAATGCAGTTTCAGGGAATAACATGAATATGTAACACTGTTCTAAGTTTCTTTTTTGAATTTTCTGTTTGGATCCTGCATGCTCATTTCAGTTACTAAAGTAGGCATTAATTTATCTGAATTGCTCAGTAAATGAATTGGAAGGAGTGTGCTGACTGAACTTCACTTTCCAGCCACAGACCATTTAATTTCTGTCACGTATGAGAATCAGAGTTGTGAAGTTTGTAAACAGAATGAGATCCCCAAGTTGTTTATTCCACACAGACACACAGAATTGGTGAAGATAGAATACACTGTATGCTATTAAAGAGAGATATGGTGAGGTGTATTAATGAATGGTGTGACTGAGTATGAAATAGCATTATTATTTCAACAGCTTTTTTTTGTAATACCATCCTTTGGTGGACATCATACTTACACTAACACTTAAAAATAACTTTAATGAAATAAATGTAATGATTTTATGTTTAGTAGAAATGTATTAATTTTTGTTTGTTTTGTCTACAGGACAATGAAAGCTGCATTTGACGGCCTCTTTCCAACAGATAATCCAAAGAAAACAAAATTTGCGTTCAGTTTTTTTAGCTCCATAGGTTTGGGAGGACTTGCAACAAGAATGTCACATGAAAGTGGATCAACTTAAAGCAATGCCTGATTGTTGTTTACGTTGTATGTGCATTTATATTTTCCTCCACATGGCATTGACAGGAATGAACTTGAGCGTCAGTTTTTGGAGAGTCTGCAATTTAATATCAACGTTCCCTCCAGCATATACGCCAAGCGCTACTTCGATTTGCGGACTCTTGCTGAAGCCAGTGATCTTTCATTTCCTGGGGAGCCTCTCAGCAAAGATCGAGCTCAAAAGCTGGAAGCAATGTCACGTGTGTGTGAGGACAAAGTAACAGAACAAGCACTTCGCAATGGGTTTAAGAAATGGTCAAGTATGGACAATGTAAGTACCGGTGGACCACGACAAAGTGTTGCCATTTTGTCCTGAGTCTGTTCTACAGGGGAACATGACCAGTGATCAGGGAATTATAAACTGTCAGACATGCAAAACTTCTTTCTAAGTGCACCACATCACAGAAGCATAATGAGGTTTTGAGATTAGAGGCATATATTCCAAGAAATGACTTCATATTTCAGTACTGTCATACCTTTATCTATGGTTCTGTAATTTCAGTTTCATCTGTTGTATGTTGTGACTTCATTATGGCTAAACAGTGGCATTTAGCATTTTTAAGTGAAGTCCTATTACAAAGCCTTCATTGTCCTGCCTAAATTGTTTCAGAGTTTGAGTATCTCAGTAAAGGAACCTAATAATGAGTTGTCTTGTAAGAACTGAAGTGTTACGAAAGTCTGTCAAGTGAGTAAATATATGTCATTAGAAGTATGCCATACATCTTGAAGACAAATGCAGAG